AATTATTACATTTAAACATCGGAATTATTGGCAAATGCAGCCTTTTGAATCAGCACTAGCGTTAATTACTTAATCATGTTACTCATAAACAGAAATTATGTTTTGAATATATCTCATAATAAATTTAGGACACAATAAATCATAAAGTATAAAAACTCTGGGTATCATGGTTTTCACCCCCATACATTATTAACTCATTCTCAAAAAGAACAAGGAACCAGAACAATGTAATAATTGGAGACCAGAAAGTTTATTAAATAGATGTAAAACTTCTGGCAAAGAATTTGACCTATTGGGAGAACAAGTCTCTTCTTAATTTACTCGTCCAGCCGGGCCCTCAAATAGGTCTCTGTCCTCTCTCCTTTCGCTGCAGGGCACACTTGAGGTCCTGTGTGATCTGAAGCTGCGTAGCCTTGTCCTGCTCATATTTCATGCGAGCCTTCTTCAGTGAATCCGTTTGGGTCTTAGAGAGCTCTTTATATTTGCTCAACTGCCCAATAAAGAAAGTTTTCTCTTTTTGCCACTGGACACGGCGACACTCAAGCTGTTCTTCAGTCTGTTTTAGTGCTGCTGTGAGATTGTTCTTCTCTGCCAGTAGATCCTTGTGCTCAGTCTCACTAGAGGCTCTGCACTTCTTGATTTCATCCAGTAGGGAGGCTTTCTCCTGTTTCCACTGGAGACGCTCCTTCTTTGCCTTCTTGTTGACTGACTGTAGATCAGCCACAAACTGCTGTTCCTTTTCACTTTGCTGCTCTAGGTGGGCAGCATAGCAGCTCTGGGTTTTGTCCAAAGCTGCCTGGAGGTAGCACCTCTCCTCCTGCCACTGCTGCTCTGCCTCCTTCTGAGCAGTCGTGAGCTGATTTATCTCAAGGCTGTGTTGCTCCAGCTGGACCTTCATAGAGTTCTCTGTGCTCTCCAACTCCTGCTCCTTTCTGTGCAGAGAACTCTTCAGGTCCTGTGTAGTCTGAAGGTGTGTAGCTTTGTCCTGCTCACACTTCAGATGAGCCTCCTTCAGGTTATCAGTTTGGGTTGTACACAGCTTTTTGTATTTGTTCAGCTCTGCCAGAATGCAGGCTTTCTCCTCTTTCCACCGAAGACGCCCTAGTTTGCCTTCCTTGGCTCGAACACAGAAAGGTGATGAAGGTTCCAGGGTTTTCCTCTGTTGAACCTTAGTTTTTTTGTGCCACTTCTGTGTTTGTTTCTTAGAGCTCTGTGTACTCCCCATAGTGAAATATAACGTGCAAATGTTATACAGTAAAAAACTGAAATTCTTGACTTCTCAAGTGTGATGACTTCTCAAAATCAAAATGCAACTTCTCTCTTTCTGTGGTTGTGTGGTTCTGAATGCCAGTCTGTGAAACTGGTAAAGAGCAGTTTAGTCCTTTAATGTGCATTCTAGAACTCTGATGTCATGGTTGCTATTGGATACTGTTGCTGTAGTAGGAAATCTATGGTTACTTTTTTTTTGTTTTTTTATTGAAACTAAATACATTAACAAAACAGTATTTAACATGAGAGACAAGACAACAGATATATGACATTACAAAAAGATGAGTGTTTTACAAGATTGTAGTGTGTGAAATGTGGGTATTTCCAACTTATGCAGTCTATGAAGCACAAGAAAGGGTAAAGGAGGGAAATAAATAAAAATGCCCAATAATAATGATGATAACAGTACTACTAATAAAATCGGCTTGTTACATTTCTAGAGGTTGGGGAATGTGCGTGGCCTCATCCCCAGGTGGGCCTTTTATTGTGGCCAGCCTAAGGCACACCTGTACGATAACCATGCTGTCTAATCAGCATGTTGATATGCCACAACTGTGAGGTGGATAGGTTATCTCAGCAAAGGAGAAGTGCTCACTAACACAGATTTAGACAGATTTATGAACAGTAATTGAAAGAGAGAGGCCTTTTGTGTACATAGAACAAGCTGTAGATCTTTGAGTTCAGCTCATGAAAAATGGGAGCAAACACAAAAGTGTTGCGTTTATAATTTTGTTCAGTGTAATAATAAATCATCTGGATAAAGACTCATTTTATGTTCTGAGTAAGTATCTTGTATTCCTTTAATTTTATTCTTCTGTCGTATCGCTGCTGCTAGAGGCTCGATGAAAATGGCGAATAGAGATGGTGAGAGTGGGCATCCTTGTCTGGTACCCTGCTGTAAAATGAAACTTTGTGACCTGATCCCATTTGTACTTATTGTCGCCCTAGGTGATGTAGTACAGTGTTCTTATCCAATGGATGATCGACTCTCCGAACCCAAATCTGTGTAATGTACAATAGAGAAATGTCCAGTTAACTTTGTCAAATGCTTTCTCTGCATCTAGTGATAAAATTATGGGTTTGGTTTGTTTTTGTTGTGCAAGATTAATCAAATTAAATAATCTCCAGATGCCATCTGAAGCATTTCTGTTCTTAATGAAACCTGTTTGGTCTGGGTGGATTAATACTGGAGTGGCCGTCTCTCTTCTAGTGGCTAGGGCTTTGGTAGTGATTTTTAATTCTGAATTAATAAGTGATAAGGGACGGTAACTAGAAGGGTGGATTGGGTCTTTGGTTATAATAAGAGTGTCATGATGTCTGTATTCATGTGCGTTGGTATTGTGGAGGTGTCTTTTATTTCTGTGGTGACTGAGAAACAGTGGTGATAGCATTTGCCAAAAATGTAAATAAAATTCAGCTGGTAGTCCTGATCCAATTTCTTCTTTTCCACAGCTCTCCAGTCTCCCATTGAGTACCAGAGGAAGGAGGGTGGCATCTCTGTGACCTGCCCACTGTCATTAGGACGACCGCCATCGGCTCCGCCCACACCCAATGGCCACGCCCCACAACCTGCACCTGACAGTGAGCAGGACGACCAGGTTCGTTTATATCTGAATAAGCTTTTATACTTGACTTTAAAAGTTCAGATTGGAGCTGATTTGTGATTGATTTTGAAAAGACCATGTGACCTTTGACCCCTCAGGAGCTGGTTCTGGTGCTGCAGGACTTTGTGGCGGTGCGGGAGGATGAGATCTCCGTGTTTCGGGGGGAGAAGGTCCAAGAGGATGAGTTCTCCGTGTTTCGGGGGGAGAAGGTCCAGATCCTGGCGTCCAACCAGCAGGGTCAGAGTCTGGTTTATCGGCCGGCCAACAGCGGCTCGCCAGCTGCTGAGGGCTGGGTGTCACGCAGTGTGCTACACATACACTGACACAAACACAACAACAACACACACTGACAGCAGGGTCAGAGCCTGGTTTACTACTAGTACATACACTTAAAATACTGTAAGCCAATGGGACCAAAAGGCATGTTGGGAAATGAAATATGCACTGCAAGAGACAGGGAGCAAAGGTGGCGATGCCAGCTGGTCCAGCTCATCTCAACAGCTACTTATGAAAACTGAGTTCACATCAGCTAGAGTTTACAGTATATTGGTGTTGAGCTAGCTTAGATGATGGCTGTGTTTCTGGCAGTCTGGGGTTGTTGGACCTATAGGAGTATTTGTACTTGTTAGTGTTGACGCTGTCTTGAGGGTAGAGCTAGTGATACCCCAGCATTTGGGTAGGTGATCCAGAGTCTGAAAAGCCCACCGGCCACCCTTTATGAAAACATGTATTGCTCTGTGAGGTTTGAGCAGTTTCCCCAAAGTAGGATTTTCATTTCTAACTTGAAATTCCTTTTTAACTTAGTTAGATGTAGAAACTATCCTGCTTTCTATAGCAGAACATGGTTTTACATCATTTCCTAGCATGTTAACCATCAAATGACCCCTCGGATTGACTTTGTGACCCCTTAGAGGGGTCCCGACCCTTACGTTAAGGCCTATACAGATAGACATCGCCATCTTTAGGCACCGCTGTCATAACTGTGACAACACATTTCCTAACACACTTTAGTCCCTGATTATTGCCAGTTTTAAAAGAGACATTTCACACACAGACACACACAGCAGGTACTGTTAGTCTCCTCCCTATTTCCTGGTGCTTCAACTTTCAGCCAAGACACCTCTTCTCACCTCCGTCCTCGCCTCGCCCAATCAGACGCCACCATCAGGTCGGCCTCCCATTTACTACCCCAGGAAACCATTCACACTCCAGTGACATCATGGGTCAGTGGGAAGGAGATCATTTGACCACACCATCATCGACACCAAGGCCACCAACAGACTCGGACTCCAGGAAGAAGTTGTTGCCTAGCAACAAGAGACTGTTTTAAAAAATAAAAGCCTCCTGGCAAAGAAGAGGTGAAAAGACCCATCAGCCAATGAGAACTGACCTCTGTCTGCATGTCATCCTGTGAATAGTGTGTATAAAAAGAGTGAGGACACACACACACACACAATCCATGCACACACCACTGCTAGGATGAAGATGATGAAGATTACTATGATGTTTATGATAATTAAGAATAACAGAATCTGTTTTTCACCTCAATATAGAAAAAAGCTGAGAGAAACTTTGTCATATTAATGTGTGTGTGTGTGTGTGTGTGTGTGTGAGTGAGAGAGAGAGTGTGAGTGTTAGTGACACTGTCCTGTGTGTGTTTTTCCACGGACAGTTAGGTGGTGTGTCCTGGTGTAGCGTTGCCATGACAAATCGTTGTGTTTACGGTGACACCTACTTTTCCCGTCCTTTTAGCGAACCAGAGCTACCCCCCCCCCCAAACACCATTACCATAGCAGCTGGCGGTGAATGGCGGCCCGAACACGGCGGGGCGTGCAGCTCTGGTTAGTTTGGATATTCTGATTATGCATTTCTTGTTTTTGTATATAGACCCCACTATCTCTGGACACTATCTCTTTCTGCCGGTCTGTCCGCCCGCCCACCCGTCTGTCTGTCTGACAGGCAGACAACAGCTACTCGACCTACTGTGACTGTCTGTTTCTACTCAAACTGAGGTCTCTACCTGTCTCTCTCTGTCTACCTCTGTCTCTCTCTCTCTGTTTCTCTGGTGCCATTCTCAGACAACACCCCGGTCCTTAAGGAGCTATGCAGCCTGCCACGTGCACTATGGAGGGGCTAAAGCAGGAACTAGTGCACCATGAAGGGTGTACAGGGAGAGACAAAGCAAACTAGAAAGGGTTTAAGGTGGACTCCTTTACAAGGAGCTTGGTTTTAAGGGCAACACACTCTGATGTCGCAAGTTGCCCATATGTATTATCACAAAGATCTTTGCAAGTTATCGTGTCTTGTGCCTCACTCCCGTCACATGACCTCATACATAACCATCCAAGTCACCATTGTGGTACGACTGGGACAAACTGTCCACGTCAGCCTACGATTTGTAATCCCAAGCTGCAGATATCTGCAAATTTCTGACACATTTGGTGAAAAGAACTAAAGAAATGCTAACAAACCTGATGCAGACTGGCTGCAAAAGCTAAATAAATCTGAATATTAACACAAAAGTACCATTCAGCTAACTTTCTCCGAGCTGTACACTCAATGTATTTGGTTTCACTTTGTTACAAACTGTTACAAATGTATAGCGCAACAAAATAAGCCAATTTAGACTGTTCATCTGTGTGACTACAAGGTTAGCACTAGAGCTAACTACCTTGGAGTAATGTGCAAACACTCCCAAAGTCAGAATAATGGGTGTTTTTCTTCTTTCCTTTCTGCCAACAGTGTGACTTTTTCTGAAAAGTGGCAGTTTAAAGGTAATTAAAGGCTCAAATTCAACAGACTTTGTGCTATATTAACCAAGCACAGTATTTTCAATACTGACATGGCCAACTCTGCAGAACAGTCTCACCATAAATAAACTCAGGGGCTGATCAAAAGCTCCAGAACTGCTACTAAGTGGACCTCGTGTGAGCAAATGATGAGCAGTGGTGCAGTGTTAAGTCAAGTAGCCAGTGTGTGATGCATTTAAATGTAGTTTAATGCTGCATTCATTTCATGTGGGATTTACCACAATTTCCATTTCCCGACACATGAAGAGTGTTCATGACAACATCAGAGACACAAGGTATCTAAATTTAACCCTCTCACTCAACCAACCCAGCATGTCATCAGCTGTTTGATGACATGAACAATCTCAAGTCCGGATCTTTAGGATCCCACATAACGTGAACACAACACAAGTCTGGTGTATAATGCTCCGAATGGATGCCACCTTGTTCCCTTTTCAGGAATGATTTTATGTTTTCAACACATCAATATTGTGACTAGGAATGCAAGAAAAGAGCCAAAAAAAAGAAAATTAATACCACTGGTGTTCAACACAAGTCATCTTGTGAACTCAGAGTGTACCAGAAGGGCTTAGGATGGAAGATAATGCACTGTGAAGGGTGCAAGGTGGAATAAAGTGCACCGATTCTAGTGAGAAACTGGCACGCCGTGGTTTAAAATGTAAAGTAGTGCACTACTAAGGGTTTCAGCTCAAGCATAGTGGACAATGAAGGGTGTAGTAGGGAAGGTAGTGCACTAAGCAGCGTTTAAGGTGGAAACAGCACACTATGGAGGAGGGAGTGCACTGTGGAGGATGCAACACAGAAAGCAGTGCACTACAAAAAGTTTTAAGTAGTTTATTATTGCAGGCTAAAGGTGGAGAACAGTGCACCAGAGAGGGCGTAGGGTGCTGTTTGAGACGTAGCCTTGTTGCCAGTTGGCCAAGTCAACTAACCGATCAAACAGTGTTATTTGTACAGAACTAACAGCTGCTGACTGACTGCTAACAGCTCTCTGTCGTCGTTTGTAATAAATTTCATTTTTCATCCAAAACTATCTGGACGTGTTTTTATTCTTTCACTCTTTGCATGTGGATGGCAGACACCACAGATCCTGTTTTGTTGTCGGGGGCTTCATTTTCCAGAATACATTGATTCATCAATACGTACTTGAACTGGTCATATTAGGACTGTAACTGCCAATTATTTTACAAATGATTAGGTGTTTTCTTGAGTAATTCTCTGGTCTGTAAAATGTCAGAAAATAGTGGAAAATCAGTTTCCCAAAGTTAAAAATGACTCATTGAACATCTTTAGTCTCAAACTGAAAAATCACTTTACAATTAGAGACAACTACAAAAACCTGGGAAAAGGGTGAGGAGCAGGGGTTAGTGTAGAAGCCTGACGCAGGTAATTTTACATGCAAGACTTTAGAGGATTTATCAAAGTTGTCAAAATAGCTGGCAATCAATTTTCTTTCAATTGACTAAATGATCAATTACTGCAGTTCAAGATTATTTATGATTGAAACCGGGCCAATAAATGTCATAATCTGAAAGACAAGGCCATTTGGCCTTCAACTTCATACATTTTCAGAGGGAACAAAGATAATGCAGCAGTCCGCAGCAGTCTTTTCACGAAATAAAATAAAACATTAATGCAGCAGCTGGATCTTGTAAATAAAACAAGTCAAACACAGGGTGTTAGTGCCCTCTAAGCAGGTTTGACGTTCACTGGGGGCAGTAGTGAGCAAATAGCTAGCTGGCGCATTGGAATAAGGAGGACAAGACACCGAAATACACTTGGAAAAGCCACATGAAGGTGAGAATTTTGCTTTACTGGGAGGTATTTTCCAGTCATCACGCTCTACCTTTTCAAGAGAAAATACCTATGGGTGGTTACTAAATGGTTGGTTTTGCGCATTTGCGTCCGGTATGTTCGCTCATCCCCGTTAAAGTGTAGTGCGTAGCCGTGCTCCGACTGTTTCAGCCCCAAACGGGACTAGTGCTGCCTTCGTCCGACAGGATTTGTTATGTGTTTTGTCAGTTCCATTTCCGCCCGTGCCATTTCTTGAAACGGGAAAACTTAAATGCTGTCACACACCAGCTCTAAAAGATGGAGCATCGACTATGTCGGTTTCAATTTCTGCAACCTTCTTGCAGGTAATGACCACATGTAATGTCCTGGTGGGTGCCGTTACAGTTCCACAACGGCAACGAGAAATGTTTTTGTCGCGATTATTGCGAAATCACAAATATCGCTACGTCTCTTATTTTTACTGCATTACATTAAAAATAAAGTATTTCCCCCTGAAACCGTCTGGGGAAGAAGAAGTATACAATGGAAATAGAGCCTAGTACTGCAGTAAGTGTACATTGTACTCGGTCTTTGTGTAATGTGCAGTACATGTGATACTGTCATGTGTCAGCAGAGAGTGACCCGACGTCAGCTCCAGTATCCGGTGGATCGTTCACATTTACTAACAAAGTCATACAGAACTCTGCAATTAACAAACCAGAACCAGTGAATATTATGCGCCGCATTAGTTTTATCCCAAAGATACTTTGCTCGGCCTGAATTATTAGGACACAGTGTCGATTCGGCTCGTTATACAATAATGATCAGCAAACAAATCCCGATAAAAGTGCTGTAAAGCTGTAAACTAATTAAACCAATTATACAGCCACAGATAGTCTGAAGTTCACACACCCTGACTTTTCATCCAGCCGCAGCCATTCAAAAATACAATGAAGGGAGATAAAGTGAATCAGTTAAGAATTTTTAAATTAGACTTTTATTATATTTAAAAATAAGGGGAAATCATTCATTTCTATAATTTTACCTAAAAAACTGAAACTGACTGAAAATTGTAATGTAATTTAAATTTTGTTTATTATTATCATCAGATCAGCAGAAGTACAGTAGAAAGAATAACAAATGCCATGTTTCATAAAGTGCAAATATTGTTTTTTTTAAAGGTAGGAATAAATACAAGTTCATTAACAATTAGATTATTGATGAAAAAGTAATCAGTAACTATTCTGATACTTTAATAATTGTTCATATTATCCATTTCCTGAGTTCAGTTTAGGATTTTACGATTTCCTGGGGCTGTGGTTGGTCACACGATTTTTTTTCCCACTGTTTTATCAACATTTTACAGACACAACTATTAAAATTAATAATTAGTTGCAGCCCTAGTGAAAATATATTTGATTAATGTAATTTACAGTTGTATAATAATAACTTCACATATAAATTAATTGCTCTAAAACAAAAACTGTACTCATAATATTAAAATAAAAACTGTTGTTTTGGATAAAAACCGTTTTGAAAGAGACCTATATTTATGTTAAAAAAAAAAAAAAAGAAAAACCAGTTATAGGGTTAATTTTATAGTTTAACTGCAGGGAGTATATCACAGATTGCATTTAGATATGGTTTATATAATTTGCTGCCTGTTATCATCTGTTCACAGATAATCTGTCGTCTCTGTGATCAGGTTTGGGTTCAAGGACTTTAAAGTACACATACAATCTGTATTTACAGTACAACACAGCAGTATCTCAAACTAAGACTGATAAGCACTACTATGAATAATGTTTGCTTATAAATGGGACAATTTACAAATGAAACAAAATTACACACCAGTCTTAACACAGTTTAAGTTTAGTTATAAGAAATAAGTGAACCGTTTTCTAGATTATTATTTATATTTAGTTGGATATATCTCATACAGAAGCCCAGATGTCACCGCTCTGCACTGAGTTTACAACTGAACACTGTGACTATGCAAAGTTTTACTGAGGCCAGATGTAGCCAGACGACCCCAACAGTCTTTTGTTGTTAAAGCCAAGCAAAGTCCACAGCAGCCATATTACATAATCCACACAGTTTGTGTTACATGTTAACTTTTCTCAGCCCTGTACATGATCACGTGGACTGCCGATGGCTAAGTTACCTGCTGTCTGTGTGTGTGTCCAGTCAGTGGTGAGACTACAGTGAGAGCAGTGCACTCTGGGAAATACACCAGTCTTGTAGGTCAGGAGAGAAACATGCAATCGATATTTGTGAGAAATGGTTCAGAGACTCCAGAGCCGGTGAAAGCTCAAGTGACAGGTGAGTTTGACTGTGATTTAAATGGTTTATAATCAGTTCCATCTGCTGATAAAATGAGTTCTGGTCCAGCTAACAAGACGCACTTTAGCAGAATAGTTTCACTATCCACCAAAGGGGTAAACAGAACAAAAGCAATGTGTTGGAGGAGTTTGGACGTGAGACTTTTTTTGCACCTGGCAAATAACAGTTGCCCTTAAAATTAATGGTTTATAATTGATCTCGAAAGTTAACGGTTACTGAACCCTTGTTATTATTTTAACACCTATAAAATCCTCTCTGCCTTCCTATATTTTGTATAATGCACAATAATAAACATTCTTCTACTTTTACGTCTGATATATTTTGCTGATATTATGGTTTTACTTGTACTGGAGTATTTTACACTGCAGTATTACTGCTGTTACTTAAGAAAACTGGTGTCAAACTACAGCTGCAGTGAGTGGTCCATTCATAAATTAGTCCATCAGAAAATTAGTCTGCAACTATTTACAGTAATAAACATTTAATTTCAACATAAGAATATTCCAGGTTCTCAAATGCGAGAATTTCATGTTTTATGTTACAGTAAATTTAATATTTTGGGGGTTGTGGACAAAACAAAACATTTAAAAAACAACCCTGGTTTCTAAGAAGTTGTGATGGATGTTTTTCCACTTTTTATAATTTAATTACAAATTATGAAAATAATTCTTGTTTTAATTATTCATGACTCCACAAATCATTTTGATGGATCTGTGAGGCTTCTTACATTACAGCTCCTATGTACTATCTTTGCATTAGTGTTTCAACTCTGCGCAACCACCAACTTATTAGTAGCAAAGAAAACATGGTGATGACAATAGTAAAACACTTGGCTGTGACCTTTACCTGTGTGTCGCCAGGCTCCCTCCCATCCTGGCTGCAGGGCACTCTGCTGAGGAATGGACCCGGGCTTTTCTCTGTGGGCAGCTCAGAATTCAACCACTGGTTTGACGGCATGTCACTCATCCACAGCTTCACCTTCAGTAATGGTGAATAAGAACATTAAGACTTACACACAGTATATCTTACTGTCAATGTTATATATGCACCGTATTCAGAATCTTGAATTAGAAAAGTTAAATTCTCCGCTAGATCCTTGGCAGGTTTTGACCTGCTTAATCTAAAATCCAAATTAAAAGATCAGGTATCTGGTATTGTTGCAGGTGTTTACAGCTGTGTTGTTTCAGGTGAGGTCACTTACAGAAGTAAATTTCTGAAGAGCAACACCTACAACAGAAACACTGAGGGCAACAGGATCGTGGTCTCCGAGTTCGGAACCCTGATCTACCCAGACCCCTGTGAGAACATCTTCTCCAGGTACAGTCCATCCAGGACAGGTGGAGATCGGTCTCACTCTGGCCAGAACACTTAGAGGTTTTATTTTGTGCGTGTGTGTGTATACACACACACACACACACACACACACACACACACACACACACACAGTGCATCCATAAAGTATTCACAGCGCTTATCTTTTTCCCACATTTGTTGTTACAGCCTTATTCCAAAATGGATTCAATTCATTGTCCTCAAAACCCTACAAACAATACCACATAATGACAATGTGAAAAAAGTTTGTTTGAAATTTTTGCAAATGTATTAAAAATTAAAAACAAAAAAATCACATGTACATAAATATTCACAGCCTTTGCTCAATACTTTGTTGAAGCACCTTTAGCACCAATTACAGCCTCAAGTCTTTTTGAGTATGATGCTACAAGCTTGGCACACCTATTTTTGGGCCGTTTCTCCCATTCTTCTTTACAGTACCTCTCATGCTTCATTAGGTTGGATGGGGAGCGTCGGTGCACAGCCATTTTTAGATCTCTCCAGAGACGTTCAATCTGGTTCAAGTCTGGGCTCTGGCTGGGCCACTCAAGGACATTGACAGAGTTGTCCTGTAGCCACTCCTTTGTTATCTTGGCTGTGTGATTAGGGTCGTTGTCCTGTTGAAAGATGAACCGTCGCCCCAGTCTGCGGTCCAGAGCGCTCTGGAACAGGTTTTCATCAAGGGTGTCTCTGTACATTGCTGCAGTCATTTTTCCCTTGATCCTGACTATTCTCCCAGTTTTTGCCGCTGAAAAACACCCCACGGCATAATGCTGCCACCACCATGCTTCACTGTAGGGATGGTATTGGCCAGGTGGTGAGCGGTGCCTGATTTCCTACAGACATGACACTTGGCATTCAGGCCAGAGAGTTCAATCTTTGTTTCATCAGACCAGAGAGTTTTGTTTCTCATGGTCAGAGTCCTTCAGGTGCCTTTTGGCAAACTCCAGGTGGGCTGCCTGGAAGACATTTGCACTATGCACAAGACCATATCCATCAGCTGATCTTGATAGTCTGTCCATAAGACTATATGGGCTACATAAGAATCTGGTTTGGGAACACAGACTGATGTCATGTAAAGAGGCAGCCCCTTGCTTTGGACCACATCTGGACACTGGGGAAGGAATGAACTAGAAAGGAGTACATGAAGCAGGAGTGTTGGACTTTAGGTGGCTCTAGGAAGAGTCCTGGTGGTTCCAAACTTCTTCCATTTATGGATGATGGAGGCCACTGTGCTCATTGGGACCTTCAATGCTGCAGAAATTTTTCTGTCCCCTTCCCCGCGTCTGTGCCTTGATACAATCCTGTCTTGGAGATCTACAGGTTTGTGCTCCAACATGCACTGTTAACTGTGGGACCTTATATAGACAGGTGTATGCCTTTCCAAATCATGTCCAATCAACTGAATTTCCAACAGGTGGACTCCAATCAAGTTGTAGAAACATCTCAAGGATGATCAGTGGAAACAGGATGCACCAGAGCTCAATTTTGAGTGTCATGGCAAAGGCTGTGAATACTTATGTATATGTGATTTTTTTTCATTTTTTATTTTTAATAAAGATTTTAAACAAACTTTTCACGTTGTCATTATGGAGTATTGTTTGTAGAATTTTGAGGACAATAATGAATTTAATCCATTTTGTAATAAGGCTGTAAAATAACAAAATGTGGAAAAAGTTCAGCGCTCAAGACATGGTGAGATGTGTTTTTGTGCAGTCAGATCATGTACACTAGATACCACTTTGAGTCCATCTAGGAAGGCTGGGATCTGTTTGAAACCATATAGAAGATTATGAAATCTATTTCAGTCCATCCCTCACCTGAAGAGTTTGGTTTCAGTCCATCTAGGACACAGTGATCTATTTTAGATCATGCAGGAAACACAGATCAGGAAACTACAGTTATAGAGTCCTTAATTGTAAAGATCGGTTTCTGTTTCATCCAAGACTCTTACGGTCATAGAAATACGAAAGGTTTTCATTTCAGACCAACTAGGAAACAGCTTTGTTTTATTTGAATCAGGACAAGTTCATTTTAAAGTATCCAGGACACACAAAGATGAGTTTCCAATGTACAGACCACTTTCAGTCCATTCAGGACATCTAGGGACCTGTTTCCACCCATCTAGGGTATCTAGGGACCAACATACAGATTTCTGTTTTGGTCAGTTCATATACAGATCTGTTTAAGATCTAATGTTATAATAAATGATAACAAATGCTCAAAAAGGTTCTCCCTTTCTCATTAGAGCATTCACGCACCTCTGCAACGCCATCCCCGACTTCACTGACAACAACCTGATCAATATCATTCGTTATGGTCGGGACTACTATGCCTCCTCCGAGATCAACTACATCAACCAAATTGACCCTGCAACCCTGGAAACTGTTAGCAGGGTAAGTTCATCTACACCTTCCTCCTCAACACTTTAAAGGCTCAGGAACTCAGTGAATACTTCCTCAAACTTATCACTTCTCTTTAGACAAAAACAACCTTTCCCCAAATTCCAGATAAACTACAGGAACTACATCACTCTAGACCTGGCGACATCGCACCCTCACTATGATGATGAGGGCAACACCTACAACATGGGTACCACCATCATGGGCTTGGGTCGACCTAAATACGTCATCTTCAAAGTCCCAGCTTATGCCTCAGGTGCGTGCACTGATATGGTTTGACCTCAGAAATGTAGAAAGATCATTTAACCAGATCCTCCCCAAACTCTGGTAAGAAGTCATGTCCGTATCAAACAGGGTGTTTTATGATTGTGTAATCAGACTGATGTGAGGACACTTGATATCAGTGACATGACCTGCAGCGAGACTGGCAACATGACAGTGTAATCTGTATCACAGCTCGCTGTATTTACATCCTCCTTGGTAGTTGGCTATATAATCTCTTCTCTAAATTAAAGGATTAAGATAGTATGTTGAAGGATTCACCCACTGCCAGAGAAAAGAATGTAATGTTTTGAGAACAAACTAGCACTATTCTGATCATAATATCAGACATTTCCTGCAAACCATGAAGTCTTACTGACAGGTGCACAGGATAAAAAAACTCAAGTTCAAAAGGAAACCAAATAATCCTTGAATCATTTGAACCACATCTGATTTTGGAACGACTCAAGCTGAGAAAGTGAGTTCAAGTAATGGACAGTGTACAGGTCTGTTTATCTTTCTATTATTCTATGGCATAACTGTCTTAATATTAACTGTGGACCAAAACTACACCATGCTAAAGAAATCGGCACCATAAAAAGGTTGCAGTGGCAGAAAAAAATGTAACAGCCAAGATAGAAACCATAAATTACCAAAGACTAATTTGTAACACCAAAAGGGTGTGTGCTTATTACAAATGATCATTAAGTTTAATGATTGCTACATTTTCCTTCCTTCACAACTTTTTTTTTTTTATTCCAGTAAATTTTACCTCTAAACTACTAACAGCCCTGACATCCACTGGTGAAAACCAAGTGCTATCAGCTGCTCTGTGGTGTCAGGATAATAAAAGATGAACATTTACCGGTTTTACCTCTAAATATCAGGACTACACAGACATGGTTACCCCTCATATCCTAAGATTACAGTTACAAACTGAATATAGTACAGACTTGTTCTCACTCTGATAGTAATAATAAAAAAATCATACTTGGAATTCTGTGTTGTTTTCAGATAAAGAGCATAAAAAGCCGGCGCTGAGGAAGGTGCAGCAGATCTGTTCAATTCCTTTTCGATCCACACTCTTCCCAAGCTACTTCCACAGCTTCGGCATGACCGACAACTACTTTGTGTTTGTGGAGCAGCCCTTCAAACTGGACGTCGTCAAACTAGCCACTGCCTATTTCAGAGGGGTCTGCTGGAGCAAGTGCCTCATATTTGACAAGGATGACGTTGTAAGTCCTCCAGTGTTTACTTGCTGTTGATAGAACCTGATATATAAGTTGGCACAAATAGGTTTGTTGAGGACTGAAGCAACTGTTTTTCAGGGCTGTAGTTAATGGGGCCAGATGTAGAAACCGCTCTCCCAGGTAGATTAAGTTTTGATTCACAAAGTCCAGAGCATATTTAGTTCGATTCAGTTCTTTACGAATCAGATCAAATCAAATTTTATTTGTATAGCACCAAATCACAGCAAAGTAAGGTCTAGACCTTACTGTTATCACTATTATTATAGAGGAAAACCCAACAAACCCCCCTTGAGCAGCACTTGGTGACAGGGGGGAGGAAAACCTCCCTTTAATGGAAGAAACCTCCGACAGACCCCGGCTGTTGGTGGGCGGCCTTCTGCCTCGACCGGTTGGGGTGAGTGGATAGAGGAGAGAGAAAAGAGAAGCAACGAGACAACAAACAATCAAACACTGGTCAGGTTGATGTGGCCGGTGACTGCTCATCAGAAACATAGAGCTCTAGAGCCAGGGCTACCTGCAGAAAGGTACAGAGAAAGAGAGAGAGGACACACAGCAACACATAATGGTGGTATATAGTTGCATGGAGAGAGGAAAGGAGAGGAGAGTTGAAGAGAGAAACTCTGAGCCCCATCATGGGGCCCCCCAGCAGTCTAGGCCTATAGCAGCATAACTAAGGGAAGGCTCAGGGTCACCTGATCCAGTCCTAACTATAAGCTTTATCAAAGAGGAAAGTCATTTTTTGGGGAGGCGACAGTGGTGCGGTGGGTAGAGCAGTCGTCTCCCAAACAAGATGGTTGAAGGTTCGAATCTCGGTGCCGGCAGTCCACGTGTCGAAGTGTCTTGACCTCTTGCCTGGCCGCTCCCTCTCC